CAGCTGGGCAACGTTGACCTTTCCCTATGCTGCTCCAGCCCCCTTTGCAGCCCTCTGTCACAGGACCTATCACTGGCATCTCTGATGCCTAATTAAATGTGCCTCGCCCCCTTCGATGGTGAGAGGTTCAAGGGCAGGGACTGTCTTCATAGTAGGAGCTGCCATTTATGAGTGCTGCCATGTCCTCTCTTACCTTTTTAATTCTCACAAGTACCTCCTGAGGTGGGGATTCCTATGCTTGCTTTACATATGAGCGTATGGAAGCTCAGGGAGATTAAATAACTTGCCCAAGGTCACGATGAGTTCATAGCTAAGTCAGGAATCACACGTAGATACATGTGATTTCAAAGCCCAAATTCTTTTCACTGTGCTGGTCTCACAACCATCCATGCTGCTCACAGCTTAGCTGCTGGACTAGAAAGACAGATAAATACTACCTGAACAATGAGATTAGCAAGCTAATACAGGTTTCTACAGAGTTCTTTGGGGAGACATATGGAAGGAAGAATTTGTTCTCTCTGGGGGGGGGGGGTGGGGTTGGAAAAGTTTCATAAAGTTGCCAGAATGCTTGGGAACTTGTAAACTGATTCTGTAATTATGGTTTAAGGTGGAAAATAGATCCCCATGTCAAGTACTGGTGGTTAGTTTGGAGGGCCACGGCAGCCATTGTCCAGGTCATCACTGCTTCCAAATTGGCCCATCTGGGTGCCAGGAATTTAGCCCAAATGCCTGCTGGTACCTGCCTGAGTGATGACTGGTAACCAGGCAACCTAGTCAGCACATTGTTTCATTAAAATCCTGTGTGTGTGTGTGTGTGTGTGTGTGCGTGTGCGTGTGTAAGAACTACTTCACATAATCACAGTTTTTATCTCACATGCTTTACTTTACATTTAAATGAAATCAATACATTTTCAACTTTATGGCTACATGGGATAGGGTAGTAACTCCTAATTACATGTTCTCTTCTTGCTCTTGTCTCTTAACTCCAGGCATCCCTGGAGGGCAGCTTTCTCTATATTCTCTCCTTCAGGGAATTCATCTGTTTTCTAGGCTAGAACTACTGTAAAATTCCTATACAATTAAGCTTAAAACTACAAGCAAAGCGTGGCTTTAAAATGTATCGCACAAAACCTTCTTTGTCTCCTCTGGAGGGTGGTGATGAGGGAGTCTCAGTGGGTGACTGGATACCCGGATGCTCGGGTCAAGGCTCCAGCATCAGGCAATTAGGAGGCTTCTAAAGGGCTCCATTTCCTAACTGCGTGGCCTTGGGCAAGTTACTTACTTAACCTCCATAAGCCTACATCCCTGATCCATAAAAGAGTGAAAACAGTATACCAGTACTAGGACTATGGTGAGAGCTAATGAAATAATGCAAAAGCACTTAGTGACTGGTTTGTAATGTTACCAGTTAAGTGCTAGTTTTAATGATAATTATTACTACTCTTACCAATGGCAGGATGAAGCTATTTGGACAACAGTGATTCGCAACCTATGAAGTGCTATGCAAATGGGAAATATGATGATGATGTACAGCGTCAAGTACATTCTAAGGAGCTCAGTAGAAAGAGAAGCAGACAGGAAATAAGGAAAGCTAGATGCTAACACTACTCTTACTAACCCGCAGTGTGACCTTGGGCCAGTCTCTCCTTTAGCCTCCTCTTTCTCACTTGTAAATGAAGCAGTTGGATTGAATTATCTTGAAGATCAATCGCAGCTCTGAAATTCTATGAGTCCATGAATGTTGGAGCAAATCTTACATGGATCTTGGAATGGAAAGGAAGGTCAGTATGTACTATGTGTATCAATAGCCAAAGTTCATCTCTGAGGTTGATAAAAGTGAACTCCAAATGCAACAATCGGAAGGAGCAATCCAGTGGAATTCAGTGAGAAGGCAAGCTACTCCCACACACCTTAGGAATCTTGGAGGACATACCTGTGGCAGAAGGTAATGACTTACATGTATTTCAAAACATTTTTAAAAACATTTATTCATTTTTGAGAGACAGAGTGTGAGTGGGGGAGGGACAGAGAATGAGGGAGATACAGAATCGGAAGCAGGCTCCAGGCTCTGAGCTGTCAGCACAGAGCCTGACATGGGGCTTGAACTCATGGCCCATAAGATCATGACCTGAACTGAAGTCCGAGGCCCAACCGACTGAGCCACCCAGGCGCCCCTGGGTGGAGCATTTTAACTGTGGGGATATGTTTACATGTTCAGCATAGTAGTGTGCAGTGCTTTACATTGTTTATATATCATTTGTCCATTATTCTGTGAAAATATAGCTGTTTGTGTATTCAGCTCTGGCTTCTTTCTCCAGCCTCAGCCCTTCAGCAGCTTCTGGATGTTAAATATTATCTGTTCATGTGAGTTGTACCAGAAGGAAGAGTCATCTGTTACTCTTTTACTTCCTAATGAGTCCCTCAAACTGGTTTGCAGGGCATCTATGGATTTTTTCTTCTCAGAGGACTGATCAGTTTAGATAGAGCTGCTTGGTCTTAGTCTTCTCCAGGGCTCAAATTTTATTTTTCCTGTCCACTCTTCCACTGTACCCTCAATTAAAACAAAGTAACCAGAAATGATAACACAAACTAAACAGCGTGGTGTGGTGGCAGCCCTTTGATGGATAGGCTAAATATTTCTTTTGCTACTATAGCAACTACTACTGCATGCCCTGTCATTTACCTTTGAAGCTCTTTGGAAATGTGAAAGTTATTTTGCATATAAATGCTTAAATTCACCTCAATTAGTTAAGATACTTTCATCTCCCTCCAAGATTCTTCTTAAAGGGACTCTTACTATTTTCTTCAGATACTGTTAGAAATGTAGGACGCAGTATTGATAGATTTCCCCCAAACTCACTAATTTTCATATTCCCCGAGAATGACAAGGATATTATGAAAATCACAGTAGAGGGAGCCTGGGTGGCTTAGTCGGTTAAGCGTCCGACTTTCGCTTAGGTCATGATCTCACGGTTCGTGGGTTCAAGCCCCGCGTCGGGCTCTGTGCTGACTGCCAGCTCAGAGCCTGGAGCCTATTTCAGAGTCTATGTCTCCCTCTCTCTCTGACCCTCCCCTGCTCACGCTGTCTCTCTCTCTCTCCTAGAAATAAATACAAATATTTAAAAAAAAAAATCACAGTAGAGAACATTTCCATAAAAATACTTAATCAAAAAGAAAAGACTTGATGCTTAAAGATACTTCCAATTATCTGGACTATTGACGCTAGATAATTGAATGCTCATCCAACAGTTCATTAGATAAACATGTATTAATTGCCTAAAAGTGTTGCATGTGCAAAGTACTTCAAACATAAAGGAGATGAAGAAAGGGTAGCTGCTTTCAAGGAGTTCAATTAAAAATTGCTTGCTTTATATCTCATATAAAACCTAATATTTTACAAAACATTTTCCATATGTAACAACTCATTTTGTCCTCAGAACTATTAATCTTTGTTTCACACTTCATAGATTTGAGATGTCTTGTTGCTCACTGTTATTTGGCAACCAGAATGTTTTTTCTTCTTCTCACTTTGTCCACCTTGCTGCTCTTAGATCTGAGTTTCCTCCAGGGGCCATCAGAGGCTAAAATGGCTTGTCGAATTCTCTGTGAGTGCGCTTAAAATAACAGTGATCTCTACTACGTTAGGGATCTGGTTCCTGGATTCCTTTCCTACCAAAGCTTCTAGGCCACAATCTCAGAAGTTGATTGCTACTTCAGTTTGGCTATTTTCCCTTTATTCCATTCCTGATCATTCCTTCCAGGTCATTTGCTGTCTTGGACCATTGTTTTCACCAAAACAGAAGAATTTAGGAATTTGTGAATTATCCTGTCCCATGCTTTCACTTTGTAGAGGAGGAAACTGGGGCCCACACCCATCAGGTGTCATGCCAAAGCCATATAGACAGGTGGTAGAGCTGAGCTTGAACCTGAGAGGCTATGTTCTTTGACCAGACCTCTTAAAGACATGGAGCTGTGTTTAAAAGCCACCTGTCACATAAAATACTCTTCCCAGGATAAAGTGTTTCTCTTGTTACTATGTAATTATTTGGCTACTGTTACAATAGAAATCTACCCAGTTTTATAATATTTCACCGGTTATATTGTTATGTTTTCAGCTTTTCCAGAGTATACCTGCTCCGTAGGAATTATGTTGTCGCTGAGTTAATTATTGAACATCTACTATGTGCCATGCATAATACAGGCATCAGGAACATAAAAACAACTGGCTTTGGGCCTGATTTTAATCGAAAATATTTGAATCTGTGTGTGATCATTCAACAATGGATTAACGAGTAACCATATAGTTTTAGTGTAAATAGTCCTATGAGTGTGAGAAAACTAGTAACAAGAATTGAACTCCAGTAACATGTGGATGCAGACATTAAAGCCTTAACTGGCGCATTTAGGATTTCACATGTGCAGAGGACCCAAGAACCGCTATTTAAATGTCACCAAGTGTGGTTTTATTATTTTTTATTTCTAAATTCTTTAACGTTTATTCATTTTTGAGAGAGCGCGGGCATGAGTGGGGGAGGGGCAGAGAGAGGCAGGCACAGAATCCAAAGCAGGCTCCAGACTCTGAGCTGTCGGCGCAGAACGGACATGGGGCTCAAACTCACGAACCACGAGGTCACAAACCGCAGTCACTAACTCATGGCCTGAGCTGAAGTCGGATGCTTAACCAACTGAGCCACCCAGGCGCCCCGACCAAGTGTAATTTTAAAAGTCTCCCAAATCTGCTAGCAAATTGCTTTTACTGTTTTCTTTCCTCTCCAGCTGGCTCCACCACCAGGGAGCCGGGGACCTTAGGGGCTCTGGTGCCTCTGTGTCCGCGCACCCTGCTCAGACCCCCGGGGACGCACGGCGCCCCGCGGGTGGGGTGGCCCAGGCGCGGTCCGGCCGCAGCAGTCAGCCGGGTTGGGTCGCGCGGCCGGACGCTCTCGCGTGGTCCCGGGGGCCAGGGCGGGGCCGGCGCTGTCCCGCACTTCCTGCCACCTCGGGCCACCCCTCCGCGCCTCCCTGCTCCAGGCCATGGCGGCGGTGGCTTGGGGACGGTACCTCCCTCGGGTGTGGCTCCGCAGGTGGGGCCGCGACTCCCCCCTGAACCCCGAAAGGCAGGCAGCCGGGGGTCCCCCAGTAACCGACCCTTGCTCTGTGTTGCAGGAGCGCCGGGCCGGGCTGCGGCCGCCACTACCGCGCTGCGCTCTGCGCCGCGCTGAAGCAGCCCCTGGCCATCCAGGAGGTCGCCCCCCGCCCCGTCCGGCCTCACGAGGTAGGATGGTGACTGGCTTATCCCCGGGACCCCGACACCCACTTTCGCTCTCCCCTCCGCAGCCACAACACACTCCGCAGGCTTCCGTCCTGGATGGAGTTCCCAAGTGCTCGGCTAGGGGGCGGCCGGGAGACCGGAGCGCAACTCCGTCCTGGGCGGGAAGGGCCCTTTCAGGGTTCACTAAAAGGCCACAAGTGCTGAAGGAAGATTGCCCCCCGCCAAACTCAAACATAGGCCTCTTTCTGAAGGCTCCAGAGCTGTTGCCTTAGAAACAATTCTGATTTGCACACTTTTCATGACCACATGCAGGTTATTGGCTTAACGCACATACATGGACCCCCATCAATGGCTTCCTTTTCAGTGTTAGCATTTAATGATCTGTCCTCTCTCCTCCCCCAGACCAGTCCGGTAACGTCTGTCCAATAATTCTGTGTGAATGTGTGCCTTGTGTCCTCCGCCAGTTGTAGTGCAGTAATTTGGGGGTGGGGGTAGTTTAGGATTGTGGGCATTTCCGGTGAAATGTGGAAGTCTCTTTGGCCCTGCCCGGTGACCACTCTGGTGCCACAATGTCATCTCGAATGGAGAATGGGAACCTCTGACATCGTGGAGCAAACAGTGAGGCTTACAGTCAGGGATCCCTGGTGAGAGGCAGAAATCCGGCCGCAGCTCCAGAAGCATCACTAACAGGGACCTTGTCGGGAAATGGATTATTTGGGTGAGGGTGTGATGGCAGCCGGTCTGATTCCTGGGATTCGTGTGCTGAAAGACGTTTATTCTTTTTTTTTTTTTTTACACTTTTTATTTATTTCTAGGAGAGAGAGAGAGACAGCGTGAGCAGGGGAGGGTCAGAGAGAGAGGGAGTCACAGACTGAAACAGGCTCCAGGCTCTGAGCTGGCAGTCAGCACAGAGCCCGACGCGGGGCTCGAACCCACGAACCGCGAGACCATGACCTAAGCGAAAGTCGGACGCGTAACCGACTAAGCCACCCAGGCGCCCCGAAAGACGTTTATTCTTGAATCATCCTTGAATCAAGGTGGAGTGGCTTGAGGACATTATGTGCACCACACATGTCAACAACTGATGTGTCATGCACACAGTGTGCACAGGCTGAAGGCTGGGCTCCTTTGTTCTGTTATTTGCCCTGACACTGCCTGGTAAGGAATTAGCTCATGAGAGTTGGTCAATGTGAGTTTACTCACCATTAAGTCCTCATACTCTGGAATGGTGCCTGGCACACGGCAGACGCTCAAAACATTGTTGAATGAATGCATTTTGTCCATGGAGATGTCTTCTCACCAACATGGCCACCTCTGCACTAAACTGGAAATGTAAGCAAACAGATAAACAAATGTCAGTGATTCTGTCTTCCAGCCTTCATTTCCTGCTGTTTCTTGCCCCTGTTCTCCAACTTCAGCCTGTGTCAAAATCACCTGGGACTTGCTAAAGCAGAATCCTGGGCTTTGTCCCCAGAGTTTCTGATTCCTTAGGTTGGGGTGAGGCCTGAGAATTTGAATTTCTAAGTTCCCAGGTGGCAGTAAAGCTGGTGGTCCCGGAACCAGACTTGGAGAACCCCTGGCTTACAAGAGAAGAGTGCTGGCTACACTGCTACCGGCCTGCCTCTGCTCTAGCACGGTCATGAGTCACAGAGGCTGGGGATCTAGAACGAGCCTCCAGGGTGAACAGCTGGTCAGGTTACCCTTCTGCTTCAGATCCTAATGGCTGCTCACTGCTCCTACTGTGAACGACTAAGATCCTCAGTAAAGACTATAGACACTTGGGTGTGTGGTCCCTGCTCTGTAGCCCCATCTCTTTCTCTTTGTGCTCTAAGCTCACTGGTTTTACTTTTGTTCCCATCACAGGGCCTTTGCACACACCATTGCTTTTGATCACATCAGGCTTTCCCTCTCCTCTTTTGAATAGTTAACAATTAGCTGTTCCTAGTTTAAGCATTACTTACTCAGAGATGTTTTTCCTGACTTCTCCAAAAGGTCAAACCATATCACGATGCACTTTCACAGCACCATATACTTCTATCTGTAACATTTTTTGTAGAAGTTGTAATTTAACACATACATCACCATAATTATTTGGTTGATATCTGTCTTCTCTACTATCCTAGCTCCATGAAGGCAAGAACCTTGTTCAGGTTGTCTCATGATTGGACACTGGCACTTAGCATATACCCTTGACATATAGTAGACATTCAGAAAATATTTTGGTGTAATTGATCTCTGTCTCCATGGATGTGTACCACTCCACTTTGCTGCTGTGTTTCCTTTGCAGGTCAGAGTGGAGGTCCATTTCTGCGGTGTTAATTTTGCTGATATTTTGGTCTGCCGTGGTCAGTATCAGGAAAAGCCTCAACTTCCCTTCACACCTGGTGAGTATGAAGGGGCCAAGTGAGTGGATGGGAAAGAAGATACAGAGTTTTCAGAACTGTGAGCCTTCTCTCAGGCATGACCCTGGTGGTGCTTGCCTGTGGCAGTGATGCCTCAGATATGCCAGCCTCACCATAATTAAGAAGCTCTGGAGGCACCTGGGTGGCTCAATTGGTTAATTGTCCGACTTCAGCTCAGTTCATGTTCTCATTTTGTGAGTTTGAGTCCCGCATGGGGCTCTCTGCTATCGGTGCAGAGCCGCTTCGGATCCTCTGTCCCTCTCTCTCTGACCGTCCCGTGCATGTTCTCTCTTTCTCTCTCTCTCAGAAATAAATAAACATTAAAAAAAAAAAAAAAAAAAAAGAAGCAGCAGCTCTGGATAGTGAGCTCCTTGAGGGAAGGTTCTATGATTGTATAGTCCCAGTTATATCCCTCTTCTTAGCATTGTGCCTGGCTCATTGTAGATGGCCAATAAAAACGTTAAAAATGAGGAAATGAACAAAACAAGTTTTACATATCATGTCCATCAGAATTCTCATCAGAATCCTCACTGGCCCTCATCATTCCCTTTCATTCCTTGTTAGTGCCTCAGTGTTGTTTTTTCACTGAAGGATCATAAACATCTGTTTGCAGCTAAAGCTCTCAGTCCTCACAAACACATTCCTACAGAAATCTAATATCAAAGGATCAGAAATAAGAAAAAGAGTTTATACATTTCTAGCAGTCCACTGTCTGATTTTAATTATGCCCAATCTGATTATATTTAGATCCTGAATATGTGAACAAATGACTGCTTTTTGTTGCTGAAATTTACTTAAAGAGATAGAAGTATAGCTCACTGTGTATAGAGTACATGTATATTTTATACAGACATATACTATTAAGGATACAGTGATTGCAAAACAGTTGCTGTGTTTTGGCCTTGGGGTGTTTGGTTGTGTCTCAACATTTGGAACCATTTCCCTCTGTTTGTATTTGCTGACATGCTGGACGGGGGAGGGAAATGTCCTACTCGATTGAGTTATTCCTCTTGCAGTTCAAGTGGGAAATGTGTGGTCATTAAATTCAGAAATTTTGGAGGTGGAAGAGGAAAGAGCAGTCTATATCAGTTCATCCAAATTGAGCCAAGTACTTATGAATAAATATAGTTCATGTCCTCATAGTCCTCAAGAGGAGACCTGGAAACAGATAAATACAATCTGTTGAGCCTTGTAAATGGTGGGCTGTAGGGAGTCCAAGGACCCAGAGAGCAGGGTCAAAAGTACTTGTGTAGTAGAGGCACCTGGGTGGCTCAGTCAGTTAGGCGTCTAACTTCAGCTCAGGTCATGATCTCAGGGTTCGTGGGTTCAAGCCCTGTGTTGGGTTCTGTGCTGACAGCTCAGAGCCTGGAGCCTGCTTCACATTCTGTCTTCTGTCTCTCTGCCCTTCTCCCACTCACACTGTCTCTCAAAAAATGAATAAATATTAAAAAAAAATTTTAAATGCTTGTGTACCCGTAATTCTCTGTGTTTTTGCCCACTCTTGAAACTGTCATTTGTGTCCTGGTAAGAATAGGACTGCCATAGCAGTCAGGTTGTGATCATGAATTCTTAAGTCCGCTTTCCTGTGCCTTGGGTATGAAGCTCCTCTCGTCTAACCTAAGCCCTGTCCACTCCAGAAAGCTGACAGGATGGCCTGCTGATCACGCTTTTCTCATCTCCATGGTGCCGGGCTTTATAGATAACCTAGTGTTTAAACAATTTGTTTTAGGAATGGAGTTTTCGGGGACAGTATTGGAGACAGGCGCAGCTGTCAGCACAGTGAAAGAGGTAAATAAGTTGAAATCCAGGGATTCGATGTGTGTGAAGCCGTGAGAAATGTGCTAACCTCATTTATAGCTGAAGGGTCTTGCTTCTCCTGGCCTTTGCCAACAGACACCAAAGGGAAACCGAGATGGAGGGGGAAGCGGCTAATTCTGAACCGGAGGCAGGAAGCCAGGGGAAGTTCCTGGCTTCATAAAACCTTTTATTACTAAAGAAGGCAGCACCTCAGGCTTCAGTTACTGAGGGGAGAGAAAATTCTCAAGTTTCAGCCTCTTGTGGAAAAAGAAAATTAACCCCGGGATTCTAATTCCTCTCAACTTTTTCCTTCCTCTGTCTTGTCATTGTCCAAAATGTGCTTCTATTGTCTTGGCACCCTGGTGGGGACATTGAGGAGATGCCGAATTATTTACTAAATATTAACTCTGAATAGATGATTAAGGCAAATCTGTATCTTACAGGGTCAGAGAGAAAGATTTTCCTTCTTGTTTTGGTTCATTTGGGAAGAGGTAAATGGCAAGGCCATGCATCTGAACGTACCCTTAATGGTATTTTCTCTTCAGGGAGATCGAGTTATTGGCGTGAGTGGCTTTAATGGTATGGCTGAAGAATGCATCATTGATCAAAAGGTATCCCCACCTCGCAATATTCATGTTTGGAGATTTTTTTCCTCCTCTCTTTTTAATTTCCACCCAGCTCTCATTTCTTGTTACCCTTCTTTCCCCCTTCTTTGTATTTGTTTTCTTTGTATTTGTTTCTCAGCCAAGCATTTCTTACTTTCAAATGCTAAACGCATTTTCGTTATTGGTGTGACAACCCTTGCACAGAGCTTTGTTTGTGTGGAGTGGTATAATGAAGAAGGGCATTTTGTTTTCTGAGTCCTGGAGCAATGAACAGGCTGGTTGTCCAATTGGACTATAGGTAGTTTTGGTAGAAAAACTGGTTTGAGGCACTGAGCTGGATACAATAGCTTTCGCCCCTACGTAAAGCTTGTGAAAGAGATAGTCCTGGGAATGGAGCCAACCTGGGGGTGGAGGGGGGGCGGGTAAGGTTGTACAGGATGTGAATGGTGGCCCCTAGTGGTGAACAGTACACACTTTTTCCCACAGCTTTATTGAGGTAAAATTTGCATAGAACCTTCTAGTTCATCCCCATTACAGTGCAGTTCCATTCTTTGAAAGCTCATTCCTTCCTGAGCCAGATGCCAGCCTTAGGATCTTTGAAGACCCATGCACCCATGTTCCGAATGCTGTCACAGCTGGCTTGGTTTTAATTCCTCCATTGGGCTTGGTTCCTGACAAGCCTGGTTTCTTCACAAATCAGCCACTCAACGAGATCATAATATTTACTGAACAGTCTCTGTGAATAGGTACATGTGCTTAATCCCGAAGTTGCTTTTATCTCTTTTTATAGACACTGTGGCAGATTCCAGAAAGGGTCCCCCTCCGAGAAGCTGCTACCCTGCCTGTATCTTACGTCACTGCCGTTTTGGCCCTGGAGCATCGGGCATGTACTCGGCCTGGGTAAGAGACTGTCGGCAACAGAGGGCTAGGTGGTATCTCTTTCTGATATCAGAAGTGCCCACCCAGGCCTTGCCCCTTCCTCTCCACTCTGTGACCTTTAGTTGAGCTCATGTTCAGTCTGTGTGAGGAAGGGCCAAAGGAAGGTAGGACCCAAGATAGGGGACTGTTGATAGTGGGGATATCCTTTTGTCTGAGATGGAATGGCAGACTGTGAAGTTGGCCAATATAAATTTGGAGAAATCTCTCTCTCAAACCTGGCCACTCTGGAGATCACCTCCTAGAAAACCTTAAATTTTAGAGAGTTTGGTTTATGTAAACTCGCTTCAGTCTTGTTGTAATGGAGTCCTGTGGTATTTGTTTCTGTGAGACGTGGTTGTTTGTGCCTCACTGGGGTATTTCAAACTCAAAGGTGCAGAATTTTCCCACTTTACCTGAAATAATATGCCTCTTACCCTTTTTAGAGAGCCTGAGAATTGAATTGAGCAGTGGCCATTATATGATCGCCACCTTCTAAAACGCAGCAACATTTAATGTGAGAGTGATTTTAGGGCAGAATTTCCAAAGCAGAAATCTCTAGAGAGATTAAGGAATATTTTTCCTGGGAAGACTTCAACCGGACCAAATTGGCGCGGATCAAGCAGGCACCTCCATAACCCACCTCTAAAGTCTGGAGAGTGGGTGTCCATGAAGGGTTGAGTGAAATGACTTTGGAATTCTCTTCTTGCTTTAAAATGTTCATGAAATCATATGACTGCATGATTTTTTGAAACTTTCTGAAGTAAGATTCATCTTTCTCTGGCAGAGAAACCGTCTTAGTGACAGCAGCAGCTGGAGCCACGGGCCTTGCAGTGATAGACGTGGCGACAAATGTTCTTCAGGCTAAGGTATTTGCATGGCAGGGTCTCCATAAAAAAAAAAAAAATCATTCCTAGGGCGGCTCAGTGGCTCAGTCGGTTAAGCGTCCAACTTCTACTCAGGTCATGATCTCGCAGTTTGTGAGTTCGAGCCCCGAGTCAGGCTTTGTACTGACACCTCAGAGCCTGCTTCAGGTTCTGTGTTTCCCCCTCTCTCTGCCACTCTCTTGCTCACAGTCTCTCTCTCAAGAAATGAATAAACATTAAATAAAATTTTTAAAAATCATTCCTCCAGTTTTCAAACCTAGAACATATTCATTCGTTCATTCATGAATATCATGCGCGAGGCCCTGGGGAGATAAAGTAACTCAGATTAGGGTCCTGCCACCTGTTTGCCTGCAGACTGGTGAGGGGACCTCGGAGTAAATCACTCATCCTTCCAGTTACTAGAACCCGGCAAGGGCCCACCTGCCTCGTGGCTTCTGCAGATTCCATTCCCTCTACCTGTCATGCCCTTCTGAACTGTCTCCCTCCTCACTTCAACTTTTAACTCAGATGCTATATTTTTGGGAAGTATTCTTTGTCCCTCGGGAGATGGTTATCTCTCTCCACCTCCTAGCCCCTGGTTGTTTGTATATGGTCTCATAACATCCTGTACTTCTCTTTCATGGTACACATCTCAATGTGCGGTCTAGCCTTTACTTTTGTCATTTTTGGATTAGTGCCTACTTGACTGTAATCCCCGTGAAGGCAGGAATAATGTCTTTTTGGCTAATTATTGTAGTTCCAGCACCTGGCATGGGACCTAGACCATAGTAGGCACTCTAACTATTTCTTATATATACTTTTTTTTAATGTTTTATTTATTTCTAGGAGAGAGAGAGAGAGACAGCGTGAGCAGGGGAGGGTCAGAGAGAGAGGGGGTCACAGACTCTGAAACAGGCTCCAGGCTCTGAGCTGGCAGTCAGCACAGAGCCCGACGCGGCTCTGACCCAAGCGAAAGTCGGACGCTTAACCGACTAAACCACCCAGGCGCCCCTTTTTTATTTCTGAGAGAGAGAGAGAGAGACAGAGAGAGAGCAGGGGAGGGTCAGAGAGAGAGGGAGACACAGAATCAGAAGCAGGCTCCAGGCTCTGAGCCAGCTGTCAGCACAGAGCCTGACGCAGGGCTTGAACACACGAAATGCGAGATCATGACCGGAGCGAAAGTCGGTTGTTCAAGCAACTGAGCCACCCAGGCGCCCCTATAATTTTTTTTGAGAGAGAGCAAGTGACCACGCGAGTGCACGTCAGAGGGTCAGAGAGAGAGAGAGAGAGAGAGAGAGAGAGAGAGAGAGAGAGAGAATCTTAAGTAGGCTTTATGCTTAGCATGGAGCCTGACACAGGAGTCAATCTTAACCACCTTGACATCAAGACCTGAGCTGAAATCAAGAGTTGGCCACTTAACCAGCTGAGCCACCCAGGTGCCCCCAATAACTATTTCTTCAATGAAAGAATAAACAAAGGAAAGAAAGACCCAGGTCTCTGTAGGGGTATCACTCTGAGGCTGTGGGAATCAGATAAGGAGGATTTCTTGGAGAGAGTAGACATTGAAGCTGACTTTTGAAGGACTGGTAGCAGTTGAATGGAGGAAGAAGGGAAGTGAAGGCCATTTTAGTGGTGGGAGGGCATATCAGGGGACAGAGACCTGGAATGTCACATGGTGCATTCAGGGAATTGTCAGTAGCATCTGTGGAGCAAAGGATCTGTGTGGGGAATGGTGGAAGGAGACTCCAGGGAGCTGGGCAGAGACCAGATCATGCGCTGCTGAAGAATTTGAATATTCGTTGGAAGCCATCGAGAGCTTCCAACTGGAACTTTAAGCTGGGAAGGACCATGACAGTATTTGCATCTTGCGAAGTCCATTCTGGCGGGGAGAGGGGGGGGAGAGATGCGGCAAGGTCAGGGGTGGTCTGGAGGGAGTAGAGCAGCCTCTTGGGATGATCCAAGCCACAGGTGACGACACTTGAACCGAGGTACTGGAAGCAATGAGTTGAGAGATACTAAAGTAGAAAAGAATAGAGTCGGATGCTGGGAGATCATTCCCTAATATAGTTGAGGGAACAAGGACTTTGAAATTAATCTGAACTAGGTTCAAATTCCAACTCTGCCTCTTGCTTAATTGCTTCAGTTTCCTCATTGGTAAAATAAACCTTCCCTCATGGGGTCGTTGTGGGAATATTGAAATCACACGTGCAGTATGCCTATTAGATGGCATGGCATGTCGGCGAGAATCTCTTAAAAAGGGATCCGGTTATTATTAGATGTTGTGTGGGAGGGAGCAAACTAGGTTAACTTGTGGATTTGCCATTTATTGCAACTGAGAACACAGGAGGAAATGGTGAGCTCAGGTTTGGAACCACTAAGTGTGAGCTTTCTGTGGAGCATGCACTTGGGGTATCCAGAAGGCACCAAGATACACAGGTTTGGAGATAATTGGATGGCTCTGGAATTTCTTCAGGCAGCCCCTCTCTTTTCTCGCATTAAGTTCTTTTGGGGAAGGATGTGTGAGTTAGATACCAGGAGGCCCTCCGTGGAATATTAACACATTTCTTGTCAAAGCCAGGGCTTTTAGCACCTCTCAGTGGGGAGACCAAAATTTGTCTCATTGTCTAGAACCACTGACTGTTTAACATTTCTTGGAAGATAAAATTGTACCATTTGTTTTAGATCATTAGAGTAGGTTAAATAGAGAGAAAAATCCACTTTGATTCAGATATTAACATTAACCCAAGCTGTATTTTCTTTAGCAGCCATACCTGTTTTAAGCAAATGCAAACAACAACAAAATAACAAAAATAACTTTAAAAATGTCATCAGGCCACCTACTTGTAACTGGCTGTTTTGAGAACACCTCCCATTCACAGCATTTCCTGTCGCTTTCAAAGTGCCTCCTCACCAATTATCTTACCTTGGATCCTAGCAAACCCCTGGGAGATGGGTGAGGTGTTCATTATCCCTATTTCACAGATAAAGAAAGTGAGCCATCAGGGAGACCGTGATTCATATTGGGCCTCGCTGGCACCGTGTGAGAATCGAGATTGGCCTCAAGTCCCAGACCCTAGACTGGCGTCAGCCCTCTGTGGCACTGTGTGTTGATGGCTGTCAGTAAATTTGTGGCTACTTGAGGGTTCCACTGGGCAGTATTTGAGCGTAGCTTTCAGTTTCAAATAGCCATGGGTGAGTTTGAAATCTTTTAAGGGCATTGATGTCCTTGTGTGTTTGATTGCAAGTTCTGATTGTCACCTCGGGGTCAAACTGCTCAGGCTGGTGGGTGCTGTCCAGTGATATAGCACTTTCAGGCAGTACTTAGGTGTTTAAAGTACTTCTGGAGACTTCCAAACCCCAGACCTCCTCACAGCATGGCCCATGGCCATCTTTGCCAGGCTTTCAGCGTGGCTTCCTCCCAGAGCGGTGGAGTGGAAAACCGTGGGCTTTGGGGACGTGGCACTGGACTTATATAGTTGTTCTGCTACTTATTACCTGGTTAATCCTGGGTTAATTTCCTCGACCTCTAGATCTGTGTCTCCAGCTATAGAATGGGAGGAATTATACCTCCCCCATAATGTTCTTATGAGGTTTAAACAGAACAAACGATTGTGTATGTGTAACAATAGATTCAATTTCTCTAACCCTCTGTTTTCCAAGTGCTTTATGTACAGAATTCCATTTGATTTTTAAAATAAGTCTTGTTGTCTGGATGGGGTAAGCTTAGGGAAGCTGGTGGACAGAATAGGGGTTAAAAGAACGAACTCTGGAGATGGACTACCTGGACCTGGATCCCAGTTCTGCCTCCCATTAGCTGTGACCTTGGGCAAGTGACTTAACTTCTCTCGCCTCTGTTTCTTTATCTCTAAAATGGGGATGCTAATAGCGTGTATATCGTTTGGGCTAGTAAGATAAGACTGAGTTATTAATATATGCAAAGCATTTAGGATAGTACCTGGTACATAGTAACATTAGGGAAGCATTATTTCTTACTAAGTAATTTGTCTTAGGTAACACTGCTAGTTAGTAGCAGAGTCAGCATTTGAATTCAGGTCTTTCTGACTTCAAGATCGTTCCACTGAGTCATGTTTTACCCTCTGGGAAGCCTTTCCTGATCTAGACCTAGACTGGATACCTGTCATCTGCACTTCGCATCTGTCTGTACTTCCCCACCATCACATTGCTGTATCTTGCTATCTTGATTCTAAGGTTGAGTATCTTTATTACTTGACTCATAATAGGTACTCAGTAAATGGTGGTTTAATTCAAAGGCTTTCAGACTTTCTTTTCTTTTTTTTAAAAAATTTATTTATTTATTTTGAGTTAGAGAGACAGGACATGCAAGGGCAGGGTAGAGAGAGAGGGAGAGAGAGAGAATCCCAAGCAGGCTTTGCACTGTCAGCATGAGCCTGCTATGGGGCTCCAACTCATGAACCGTGAGATCATGACCTGAGCTGAAATCAAGCGTTGGATGCTTAACTCACTGAGCCGCCCAGGTGTCCCATTGGAGAAGACTTTCTGAGTGTGTCCTGAACCATCTCCTAGCCAGACTCACTGGGGTTCCAGGATTCCTGGAAAGGTGGATCCCATGGCCAGTGTGTGTGTGGGGCGTGGAGGGGCCAGTGTGATGGTGCCATGTGTTGGCCCTGATGTGTGGGATCGAGGCTGATGGTAGGGTGGCAAGGTGACATTGGTTTTCATGGTTAGCATTCTCTGTGGTGGAAGCTGGGTGGGTGGGGTGAGCCCCTTTTGATACATATTCTGGATCATCAGAAACTTTGTATTGTTTCTGCAGGTAATAGCTGCAGCCGGAAGTGACGAGAAGTGCAGGCTGGCGATGCAGAAGGGGGCACAGTCCGTCGTGAACTATAGTCAGGGCAGCCTGAAGGAGGCAGTGAGGAAGCTGCTGGGCAGTAGTGGGGTGAACGTGGTCATCGACACTGTGGGAGGAGACGTCTTCCTGGAGGCGCTCCGCAGGTGCGTCTGCCCAGCGGGGGCTGGACCTGGGGATCTGCTGAAACCTTTTTAGATCCATCTTCTGGCCTTGCTTCTCTTCCATTTTTGCTGCTCACTTTTCCTAGGGGCATTGGCATCCACGAGAACAGCTGAGTGGGAGGGTGAAAAGGAATAGAAGCAGAGGGAAAATCAGGAAATGCTTAAATATAGAAAAACAAGATATCCAACTGGAAAATATCCAAAACATGACTGCAGACTCTCTAGTTGGCAATATCGAATGCTTTAGAAATTATGCATGTGTTAAATTCAGCTGTGCTGGCCCCCAATTAACTACTTTATATACATAGTGTGGGTAATTCTTGAGATCATCGTTCAGATGTTAGAATGATTGGGGCGGCTGTTCCCTAGTTATCCGTGTACCCAAGTACAGACTCTTTTGATCTTACTGGTTTCAGAAGCAGCCAGCAGTATAGGTGTCTCCTTGACTTATTTCATTAAAAAAAAAAATTATTGGAGTTACAGAGGTACTGTTGTACTCATACCAATTCTCATTCTGTTTTTATTTTTTTAAATATATTTTTTAAATGTTTTATTTATTTCTAGGAGAGAGAGAGAGAGACAGCATGAGCAGGGGAGGGTCAGAGAGAGAGGGAATCACAGACTCTGAAACAGGCTCCAGGCTCTGAACTGGCAGTCAGCACAGAGCCCGATGCGGGGCTCGAACCCACGAACCGCGAGATCACGACCCAAGCGAAAGTCGGACGCTTAACCGACTAAGCCACCCAGGCGCCCCTTTTTAAATTTTTTTTTTAACGTTTATTAAATTTTGAGAGAGAGACAAAGCATGAGCAGGGGAGGGGCAGAGAGAGAGAGGGAGACACAGAATCCAAAGCAGGCTTCAGGCTCTGAGCTGTCAGCCCAGAGCCCGATGCGGAGCTTGAATCCATGAACCATGAGATCATGAGCTGAGCTGAAGTTGGACGCTTAACCAATTGAGGCACCCAGGTGCCCCTGCTTTAAAGTTGAGGAAACCTGGGGCCCGTAGGTGGCTCAGTTGGTTAAGCATCCGACTTCGGCGCAGGTCATGATGTCGCGGTTTGTGGGTTCGAGCCCCGCATCCGGCTCTGTGCTGACAGCCAGCTCAGAGGCTGGAGCCTGTTTCAGATTCTGTGTCTCCCTCTCTCTCTGACCTTCCCCTGCCCATGCTGTCTCTCTCTCTCTTTCTCTCTCAGAAATAAATAAAACATTAAAAAAATTTAAAAAATAAATAAAGTTGAGGAAACAGAAGCAGAGAGCACCTTACCCACAGAAGGGATTCAGTTGGTTCTGTGGCCCCTGAGAGTCCCTGCACTGTGTTGGGTACTGTGTACATGGAAGCAAAGGAAGGGGTGTGTTGACTCAATGGAGAGCCAGGACAGAGAGCTCCTAACTCTTACCTTTCCCTTGCCTTGTAGCTAGTGGGTAAAAGTGTTGTGACAATGGCTTCTCATTTCCCTCTAACAAAGAAAAGCAAAAAGCAAAAGCCAAACACATATACATGCATTTTGGATCAAAGAGGTTTATAAAATGCATTTTTTATAACTTCTTGCTTAGTGTGAAACTGTATAGTGCTTCTCAGAATGGGCTGCAGAAAACTTGTGTGAACTTTTATAGATTATTCAAAATTCTCTAGAGAAGCACATAACTTAAAGGAGTCCTAAAGTAAGTTTTTTGTAAAGCAAATGATGTTCCATTAAAGTACCTATCTTCTTATTCTGCTAAGTGTGAAATCTTCAAACTGAGTTGTCTTTTTTTTAAGCTTATTTGTTTTTATTTGAGAGAAAACAAGCAAGCAAGCAGGGGAGGGGTAGAGAGAATCCCCAGAAGGCTTTGTGCTGACAGTGTACAGCCAGCGGGGAGCTCGATCTCATGGACCGTGAGATCGTGACCTGAGCCGAAATCAAGAGTCAGACACTTAACTGACTGAGCCGCCCAGACATCCCTGAATTGTCCTGAAGTATTGCATATGGAAAGTTTCCTTCTATAAAGTAGATGAGTAGTTAATTAGATAGCCTTAATTTAAAAAATTTTTTTTAATTTTTTTAATTTTATTTTTGAGAGCTAGAGAGACAGAGCATGAGCAGGGGAGGGGCAGAAAGAGAGGGAAACACAGAATCAGAAGCAGACTCCAGGCCCCGAGCTGTCAGCACAGAGCCCAACATGGGGCTCGAGCGCAGGGACTATGAGATCATGACCTGAGCTGAAGTCAGACACTCAACTGACTGAGCCACCTACGTGCCCCCATAGCCTTCTTTTTTTAAAATTTAATTTAATTTTTTCCCTTCATAGTTTATTGTCAAGTTGGTTTCCATATCATCCAGTGCTCATCCCAACAAGTGCCCTCCTCCATGACCATCACCCCTCTTCCGCTCCCCCCCACTCCCATCAGCCATCAGTTTGTTCTCAGTATTCAAGAGTCTCTCATGGTTTGCCTCTCTCCCTCTCCCCAACTGTTTTTCCCCTTCTTCTCCCCCATGGTCCTCCGTTAAGTTCCTCCTAATCCACTTATACGTGCAGACATATGGTACCTATCCTCTGCCTGACTTATTTTGCTCAGCATAACACCCTCGAGTTCCATCCACGTTGCTACAAATGGTCAGATTTCATTCTTTCTCATTGCCATGTAGTATTCCATTGTATAGATGAACCACATCTTGATCCATTCGTCATTTGATGGACATTTAGGCTCTTTCCATGATTTGGCTATTGTTGCAAGTGCTGCTGTGAACATTGGGGTACATGGGCCCCTGTGCATCAGCACCCCTGGATCCCTTGCCCATAGCCTTAATTCTTTTTTTTTCTTTTTTTTTTATTGTCAAATTAGTTTCCACATAACACCCAGTGCTCATCCCCACAAGTGCCCTCCTCCATGCCCATCCCCTCTCCCCCCCACATCCATCAGTCCTCAGTTTTTGTCAGTATTCAAGAGTCTCTCATGGTTTGCCTCTCTCCCTTTCCCCCACCATTTTCCCCCTTCTTCTCCCCCTTGTTCCTCAGTTAAGTTCTTCCTAATCCTCCTATACGTGCAAACATATGATATTTGTCCTTCTCTGACTGACTTGTTTCGCTCAGCATAACACCCTCAAGGTCCATCCATTTGCTACACATGGCCAGATTTCATTGTTTCTCATTGCCATGTAGTATTCCATGGTATAGATAAACCACATCTTCTTGATCCATTTGTCCGTTGATGGACGCTTAGGCTCTTTCCATGTTTTAGCTATTGTGGAGAGTGCTGCTATGAACATTGGGGTACATGNTGTTAGTTTCCTGAGGAACCTCCACACTGTTTTCCAGAGGGGCTGCACCAGTTTACATTCCCACCAACAGTGTAGGAGGGTGCCCGTTTCTCCACATCCTCGCCAGCATCTAGAGTCCTCTGATTTGCTCATTTTAGCCACTCTGACTGGCGTGAGGTGGTATCTCAGTGTGGTTTTGATTTGTATTTCCCTGATGAGTAGGGATGCTGAGCATTGTTTCATGTGTCTGTTGGCCATCTGGATGTCCTCTTTGGAGAAGTGTCTGTTCATCTCTTCTGCCCATTTCTTCACTGGGTTGTTTGTTTTTCGGGTGTGGAGTTTGGTGAGTTCCTTATAGATTCTGGATGTTAACCCTTTATCTGATATGTTATTTGCAACTATCTTTTCTCATTCCGTTGGTTGCCTATTAGTTTTGTGGGTTGTTTCCTTCACTGTGCAGAAGCTTTTAATCTTGAGGTCCCAATCGTTTATTTTTGCTCTTGATTCCCTTGCTTTTGGGAATGTGTCAAGTAAGAAGTTGCTGCGGTGGAGGTCAAGGAGGTTGTTTCCTGCTTTCTCCTCTAGGGTGTTGATAGTTTCTTGTCTCACGTTCAGGTCCTTTATCCATTTTGAGTTTATTTTTGTGCATGGTGTGAGAAAATGATCTAGTTTCATTCTTCTACATGTTGCTGTCCAGTTCTCCCAACACCATCTGTTAAAAAGGCTGTCTTTTCTCCATTGGATATTCTTTCCTGCTTTGTCAAAGATTAGTTGGCTGTATACTTTTGGGTCCACTTCTGAGTTCTCAATTCTGTTCCATTGGTCTATGTGTCTGTTTTTGTGCCAATACCATATTGTCTTGATGATGACAGCTTTGTAGTAGAGCCATAGCCTTAATTCTAAAGTGGGTCCCCATGTAAAACTGGCTCATTCCTCTGGCCCCCTACAGTCTTGTTTATGACTTATTTTTATGGTTCCTACTGAAGAATCCAAAGTGATACAGGGCGGGTCACCTCTGCCAGTTTGTAAGGTCCAGAGGAATTCCTAGCTGGGGGTTTAATGCATATTGCTTTTTTAAGTTGTGGTAAAATATCCATAACTTAATACTTACCATTTTGAACATTTGTAAATGTACGATTCAGTAACGTTAAGTATGCTCACAATGTTGTGTAACTATCCCCAACTAATACTCTATACCTGTTAAATAATAACTGCTCCTCCTGTCCTCCCCCACCTCCTGATAACTTCTACTTTTTATCTCTGTGAATTAATGTATATTGCTTTTTTTTCATTCTATGCTTTTTACTGTGGCTAAAAAAATACATAAGATAAAATTTGCTATGTAAACTATTTTTTTATATTAACCATTTTTAAGTGTATAGTTCCGTAGTGTGGAGTGTATTTATATCGTTGCGATATAGATCTCCACAATTTTTTCATCTTGTGAATCTAAAATTCTTTACTCACTAAACAACAATTCCTGTTTCTCCCTCCACCCAGGCCTTGGTAACCACTACTTTACTTTCTGTTTTTATGACTTTGACTACTTTAGATCCCTCAAAATAGTAGAATCATTCAGTATTTGTCTTTTTGTAACTCGCTTATCTCGTTTAGCTTGATGTCCTTACGGTTCATCCATGACATAGCATGTGACAGGATTTCCTTCCTTTTTAAAGCTGAGTAATACTCTATTGTATGTATATAACACATTTTGTGTATCCATCTGTCAGTCTCTGGACATTTGGGCTGCTTCTACCTCTTGGCTATTGTAGATAGTGCTGCTGTGAACGTGGGAGTGAAACTATCTCTTCAAGACCCTATTTTCAGGGGCGCCTGGGTGACTCAGTCAGTTAAGTGTCCAACTTCGGTTCAGATCATATTCTTGGGTTTCGTGGGTTCAAGCCCCGCATCGGGCTCTGTGCTGACAGCTCAGAGCCTAGAGCCTGTTTCACATTCTGTGTCTCCCTCTCTTTGTCCCTCCCCTACTTGGGCGCTCTCTTTCTCTAGTAAATAAATAAACTTTAAAAAAATGCTCGAGAAAAAGACCCTGTTTTCGGTTATTTTGGATAGAGACCCAGAGTGGCATTGCCAGATTATATGGTAGCTCTATTTTTAATTTCCTGAGGAACCTCTGTACTGTTGTCCACTTGACTGGTTCTGTGATCCCACCCACAGTGCATGAGGCTTCCAGTTTCTCTACATCCTTGCTAACACTTGTTATTTCCTGTTGTTGTTGTTTTTTATAGTAGACGTTCCAGTGAGTGTGAATACACATTGCTTTGTATACTTTCTTTTCCTTCTTTTCTTCCCCCAGCCTGGCCTGGGAGGGCAGGATTGTGGTGGTGGGTTTTGCTGGAGGAACCATTGCCTCTGTGCCGGCCAACCTTCTGCTCCTGAAGAACATCTCTGCCATGGGGCTGTACTGGGGCCGATACAAGGAACAGAACTTTCCCGTCTTCTCCAGAATCCTGTCGTCCGCTCTTCAGTACTGCCAGGAAGGGCGCATCCAGCCCCACGTCGGAGCGGTTTTTCAGCTGGAGGAGGTGAGGTGCTCTTAAGGGATGTGATGTGGCTAATGCCAGGACGTGATCTGTGTCAAACGACTGGGTAGTTTCTCTCTGGATCCCATAAATCCTCCTTTTACGGAATGAAAAGGTGAAAATGCAGTGCAGAATAATGGGGTCTCGAGGGCCGCGGGGTCATGGGACTTCTCCCGGTCTTCCGGGTTGTACGGCTGTAGCCTCAGCCCTGGTGAGCCACCTGGGAAACGGAATTTGCACAGGCCGTGAAGAGGCTGGACACTGAGACTCTATGTACGTCATGGGTTTCTTAAGCAGGGGGAAGTGATGCTGCTTTAGAAAATAATTTACCTGTGTTTAAATGAACTCTGAACTCCACAACATACACATCTAAGAAGGAAGCATTTAACTTGACCTTTGATTTTAGAATACAGACGCTTTAAAGTACAGCCAGATGATTTAAGCCGAGGTCCTGTGAGCAAAACACTATATCATGCCCAGCATCAGAAAACTGTAATTCATCCGTTAGTCACTGCAGTTAATTTTGTTGGCTATTCACTCCCTTTTTACACCTTTTTTCATTCCCCCTCAGTCCCATTAACGTGGAGTAAATTCCTCTCTTGTAATTGTGCGCATGCATATGCAACATAGCTGTGAATGTCAATCTGTTGGGTATTCACTGTGAATTCATTGACTGTGAAGCCTTTTTTTTTGCTTAATTTGTTTTAATGTTCAAAAAACTGTTTTGGTAACTTGAGTCAGCCATTGATGGGGGCAACGTTTGGTTCCTATGCAGATTAGTTGAGCCCAAGCTGTCAGTGCCAGGTTTTATCGCTCATTAGCCTTCCTTTTTTCCTTTTTTTTTTTCCCCTATGATGGGGCACATTCTTCTCAAACATTGTTTGCTTTCTTCTTCTCCTTTTTGGTATGTCAGTCAAGAAGATAGCATTTGGTGGTAAAAAGAGAACCCAACTAGCCATGGGAAAACTGGTCAGATTCTATTTCTACCTTTGCCTTCTCTGGTTTGCGTCTCCTCTCCTTTCCGGCCTTTGGTCTCCACGCCTCTACAGCGGGTTATGTACTTCAGGGGCTCGAGTGTGTGGGGGTGGACAGGTGACCTGAGCTGCCTGGGCTCTGGGATCCCCTCTCTGCTGGGGTCTGAGTAGCTGTACATTTTTACCTTTTTGTTCATCTGTTTCTTCTGTGAAAAGGTTTCGCGGCTTAAAAACCTTGAAAACCACCAGTTTCCAGAATTTCTGAGTCCCCTTCCATTACGTGATTTTTATCGTGTGTCTGTGACCTGAGGTTTGTTTTATACCTAAGCCTCCCGTATACCCATTGATGGAGGATAAGGACAATTAGAACAGGTGCGGAAACAATTGCTAGTTCGAACTGACTCTTCTCTCCATTGATGCATTCAAAGTGCTGTTCAGGCATGAGAAAAAGCCAGAGTTGGGTTATTGTAATCACTTACACTGAAGTTCTCTGTTCTTTTTTTTTTTTTAATTTTGAAATGTTTATTTATTTTTTTTGAGAGAGACAGAGTGCAAGCAGGGGAGGGCAGAGAAAGAGAGGGAGACGGGATCCAAAGCAGGGTCCAGGCTTTAAGCTGTCAGCACAGAGCCTGATGTGGGGCTCTAACCCACGAACCACAAAATCATGACCTGAGCTAGTCAGGAGCTCAACTGACTGAGCCACTCAGATGCTCCTCTGTTCTCTCTCTTTTTTTTTTTTTTTTTTAAACTTTATTTTTTTTTTTAATTTTTTTTTTTAATGTTTCATTTATTTCTAGGAGAGAGAGAGAGACAGCGTGAGCAGGGGAGGGTCAGAGAGAGAGGGAGTCACAGACGGGAACAGGCTCCAGGCTCTGAGCTGGCAGTTAGCACAGAGCCCGACGCGGGGCTCGAACCCACGAACCGCGAGATCATGACCCAAGCGAAAGTCGGTCCCTTAACCGACTAAGCCACCCAGGCGCCCCTCTCTCTTTTTTTTTTAAGTTGACTTATTGGGGTGCCTGGGTGGCTCAGTCGGTTAAGCATCCAACTTCAGCTCCGGTCATGATCTCACGGTTTGTGGGTTCGAGCCCCGCGTCGGGCTCTGTGCTGACAGCTAGCTCAGAGCCTGGAGCCTGCTTCAGATTCTGTGTCTCCCTCTCTCTCTGACCCTCCCCTGCTCGTGCTGTCTCTCTCCCTCTCTCTCTTTCTCAGAAATAAATAAAGCATTTAAAAAAAATTAAAGTTGACTTATTTATTTTGAGAGAGACAGAGAATGAACAGGGGAGGGGCAGCAATAGGGGGAAAGAGAGAGAGTCCCAAACAGGCTCCACACTGTCAGCACAGAGCCTAATGTGGGGTTCAAACCCACGAAACTTGAGATCATGCCCTGAGCTGAAACCAAGAATCAGACACTTAACTGACTGGCCACCCAGGTGCCCCAAGTTCTCTCTTTTCTTAAACACAAATTAACTATCTAATTGCTAACCTCCTGTCAGCTTGCCCTTCTTTCTAATGAGGGCTCCACGTGTGGGGTTTTTCTGGTTCTTCCCACACTGCTGACTTCCTGCTATCACACTGCTGGACCTCTGAGACCATTCTCCCTAACAATTTCACACATTTTGTTCACACACTATCCCTTTATTATTTCTTCTCTCTCTCTCTCTCTCTCTTTTTCAGTATGTGAACCATGTAGAGGAATAGGAATAATAATGGCAGCTCCCATACGTGAGGTGCGTACTGTGGGTCAAGAACTGTGCTAAGCACTTTTACACACATTTTCTCATTTCATCTTTGGGACATTCCCTTGACGTGTGAACCATTTTTATCATGTTTTACAGATGAAGAAATCAAGACTTGTAGGGGTTAAGCAACCTATTATGTAGTAAGTGACAGACCTGGAATCCAGTTCAGGGTGGTCTGAGGCCAGATTCTGGGCTCCTTATGGTTATGGCTGACCCTATCCTCATAGAAATCAGGAAGTTGCTCCTTAGAAACCTTATTCTAGAGTATGAAGTTTGTCCATTTATCAGAGAATTATCTATGTGAAAGAGCTATCTTACAGTTAAAACAACCAGGAATCTTGAACTTTCCCATGCAGTACCAGAATTTGTAGATTTTTTAAAGATTTATTTTATCTTATTTTTTAAATTTATTTTGAGAGAGAGAGAAAGAGCGTGAGTGCGAGAGGGGCAGAGAGAGAGAGAGAGAGAGAGAGAGAGAGAGAGAGAATCCCAAGCAGGCTCTGTGTTGTCAGCACAGAGTCTGATGTGGGACTCGATCCCACAAACCATGAGATAATGACCTGAGCTGAAACCAGGAGCCAGATATTCAACCAACTGAGCCACCCAGGAGCCCAGATTTTATTCTTCTAAAATGAAAATAATTAAATGAATATATACAGTTAATTTCACTTAAATGTAAAGCATGGGTGAATACTCTTCATGTAAATCAGTTAATGTATTAGAAAAAAATTATTTATCAGGACCTGTCTGGTGTGTATATATACACACACACACAAGTATATACATATAATATCAGGTACTAGTGCTCACTAGTTTGTGTTTGTGTTTTCTCCTGAATATGTGGGCTGGTAGATTTGACCTTGATAGATATTAATATGACCACATACTTTGTACCATAGTCTTTTTTAAAGATATTTTTATTTTTATTTGTAAACAATTTTTTTAATGTTTTATTTATTTTTGAGAGAGAGAGATAAAGACAGCGCGAGCAGGGGAGGATCAGAGAGAGAGGGAGACACAGAATCAGAAGCAGACTCCAGGCTCTGAGCTAGCTGTCAGCACAGAGCCCGATGTGGGGCTCGAACCCACAAACCATGAGATCAGGACCTGAGCTGAAGTCGGATGCTTAACCAACTGAGCCACCCAGGCGCCCCTTTAAAGATATTTTTAAAAAATGTTTATTTTTGAGGCCGGGGGAGGGGCAGAGAGGGAGACACAGAACCTGAAGCAAGCTCCAGGCTTTGATTTGTCTACACAGAGCCCGACGCAGAGCACCAACTCATGAACCGTGAGATCATGACCTGAGCTGGCTAGTCGCTTAACCACCTGAGCCACCCAGGTACCCCTGTATCATAGTCTTTTGAGTAGGCACAGGGTATGAACTTCTATAGCACTCTGTGCTTTTTGTTTATCTGCTTGTAATTATTCGATGCTTGTCATTCCTATAGACCATAAACTCCACGTGGGCATGAGCCATGCATTTCTTTGTCTCTAGATTCTGGAAGGTACTCATGTATCTGTTGAATGACTGACTGAGAGGAGGGGGCTATAGGGTTAGACCACCTAAGTTCAGATCCTGGCTATGATTAAATTACTCTTAACTGGCTATGGGTAAATTACTCACATCTTTGTGCCTTGGTTTCCTCACGTATAATGGGGCAGTAATAAACTCTACCTACTAAGGTGGTCATGAAGGTTACATAAGATAACGTGTAAAAGCACATAGCAGGCACTTAATATATTGTTTAAAGCAAAATACCTATCCATCATAAAATGGTTAGAGTTGAGCTTTTTCAGTTCCCATGAACTGTAACACATACATTGACATTTCATGGGCAGGATTAGAGAGACAGCCTTTAGATTTTCAATTTTAACTAGAATTTATTATTTTCTGAAGGATTGCACCTGTGCCATGATGGGTGGGCCATGAATGAGCACCATGATCTGTTCAGTGGGCGGCCTCATTTAGATGTGCCAAGTCTGTGTTCTGTAGAGATCTGAGCTTGATTATTACATAAAAGTCAGCTGAGGCCACGACATGAATAGATTTGATAGATAGAAATTGTTTACTTGAAGTTTCCTGAGTGTATGTGTATATATATATATATATACATACATACATATAATATATGTGTATAATATAATATATATATGTGTGTATATATCTGAGTGTATGTGTATATATATATATATACACACATTATTATTTCCTTATTTTTTTAAGTAGACTTCATGTCCAGCACAGACCCCAAATGGGGCTTGAACTCATGACCCTGAGATCAAGATC